AATCCGGAAAAATAGTTTCATTTCCTATAAAAACACATATATTATATAAAGGGCTTTAGTTTCGTTTTAAAAAAAACTGAAATAAAGCCACTGTTCCTGCAGTTCAACCCAAGCAAAATGAACCGTATTAGTACGGGAAAAGATTGGAATTCGAACTGAGCTAGTATCGACTCTTGAAGTAATTTGATAATGAAAGTGGTAGAAAGAAAAGGGATGTCAGGAACGTAGCAAGTGGTGGTTTGTGGTTTCTATGTACTCGAATGGGAGACGGAAAGAGGTGTTCCACATATATAGATACATGTGCTACTACAGTTGGTGAGCTAATGGATTTTTTTACATGGCACCATTAGAGTTACTTTAAAATCCGAATTCGACTTCCTAGGTCAGTAGTTTTGTCCGACGATGTAGTAAAACCATTTCCGGAAATCCGGAATTCGAAAAAGTTATTGACTAATGTTTGGTGGTTTTAACAAACTCTATGTCTCTCCTTGTAGCTATATCTATACATGTATCTATATATGTGGAACACCTTTTTCCGACCATTTATGATAATATAGAAGGTATAGTTGGCAATATATTATTTGCACCGATTCGTCGTAACGCTTCATCTTTAGAGTACAATAGGACAAAAGAGTGTGCCGCCTCGCTAACGCACGTGCCACCTGTATAGTGCAAACACATAGTTTAAACACTTTTGCTCATTGGCAGTTAATTTTAAACTTGGTACTATTTATGCGGAACTAACTTTGTTGAATTAGCAGTAAAAGAGTCGGCAGTTGGTACTTCACGAAGTACGTAGTAGTTTTAAAAAAACGACCTGATGAGTAAATAGATAGTAGTAGTTTAGGAGCAGTAGAGCTCCTTGTGGAAGAGTTCGTCTAAGGTAGTAGAGCCACCTTACCTATTTCTGCCGCCAAGCAGTAATGTCAGCGTTACTGTGTTCCGGTTTTGAAGGGTAAGGGTGCTTGTCACTTTGTCACCTTATGTTTCAGGGTGACGGGCGCAGTTTATTTATTTTTTATTTATTTATTTATTTATTTCAGGCAACTAGGACCCATAGATACATACCTTACAGACTAACATACATATAATATAAAAATAATATAATAAAACAATAACAGAAATATTAAATAAATACCTTACGGACTAATCATAAATACAATATAACATGATAATATACGTATAACACTATTTATTTACACGTATGTACGTTGACGTGTGACGCAACGTGGGTGTCCGGTAGCCGTCCTCGGAAACGCCGGTACATGACACCCTTCGGCCAAAAGTCTTCTCTCATGAAGGTCGACAGGTGTTGAGTTGGTACTCGCACCACAAATGAATTAAAATTCACATTGTGGCGCGACTCCAACCGCTCGACCCTCAGGTTTGCAGTGGTAGTAACCCTCATATTTTTGCGATTTAAAGCTCTGAGTGGCACTGTAACTGTTGTGGACAGGCGTTTATCTTACCATCAGGCGCACGACTTGTTGGTCCCGTCACTTGACGATATAAAAAAAAAATTAAGACTAGAATTCAGAATAACTTTTTTGTTAAAAATAAAAACCGACTGTTTAATGAATGAAAGATGATTCTCAATCGTGATTGATCTTTAATCGTAAAGTAATAGATCTTTACGCTTTCAAAAACATATTGCCTAGTTTAAACGCTGCGTCAAATTATGCCTATGTGTAGCACTATAAATAACAACTCTTAATGTCGCGGTTATACTGCTCAATGTTGCAAGAAAGAATTCTTTTGTAACCTTTTCACCGTCACTGACAAAACTAGTTTTGTTGCGTAGACGCCAAGTGTAGTGATATGACATGATATGAATTTTAACCTTATATAAATTCAATTCACCTAAGTTAAAGAAAAATGTAACTGAACATATAATGCAAGTATGAATCCATTCTTAACTAGAATGTACGAATAACAATTGGTTTCGTTGACACTTTAAAGCGTCTATGGCGGTCAAAAGTTTAATTAGTGTATCCGCTTGCTAATACAATTAGTAAAATTGTCCCAAAACTAAAAATATATACTATTTCTCCCTGGCAGGCCGTCTATGTCCCAAGGCACCGTGATACACAGCCAGCGATTCCAAGAGAAGGACTTCACGATCGCCACGCCTGAAGAGTTTGTGAGGCGATTCCAGGGGACCAAACCCATTAACAAGGTGAGTTATAATTATATTAATACAAAGAGAAATTCCTTGGATTTGACAGGAATCGAACCTCGTACAAACAGACGTGTTTTAAACGGCATCACTGAGCGTAAATAGCTTAATAATAATAGTCAGCCTCGCTAACAACTGAGGCGTATTTCTGTGGCGTGTCGCTTCCAGCACAAATGCCATCTTTACTGCAGAATACAAAGACTTACAGTGCTCTATTTTCGCAATGTTAACTTCGTGTTACGGCTGCCATCGGGCTTTACCCAGTAGCCCTTTGTCTTTGGTACAGACCCGCGGACGCTTTCAGTCGACTTGGAAGTATATAGAGTTGCTATTACGTATTTTTATTTCTTTCCGCTCACAGGCACGACAATAACCAGAAAATGAAGAAATGATTACTTTCCGGAAAAATATTCATTTTTAATCATATAATCTCTTATAAGCACACTTTATTTATTTTATATTTTTGTTAACTTGTTTATTGACATGGAGTAAATGTTATTAAAAATAGGGAAATAGTTTTACAGCTCTATATAGTTCATACGGAAATCAACACAAAACAACAATAAAATACATAGGAAATGAAACTATTTTTCCGGATTTAAATCGCGTGTATTTGTTTTTTCAAATAAACCGACCCGAAGGGCCTGAAACGTCGGTTTGTTTGAAGAAACAAATATACGCGATTTAATTCCGGAAAAATAGTTTCATTTCCTATGTGTAACAATCGCGAAAACCTAAGAACTCAACAATAAAATACGTTGTTCAAAATTCAAATATTTTTAAATCTATAATTAATGGGCTTGGAAATTAATATTCGTGTGCATTCGGAAATCCGATGATTGCCGAGTGACATTGAGAATACGTTCTTGCCACCATTGAAGAAATATGAATCGAATGTTTTATGAAAATACCTTCAAATGTCTGAAATATATTCAAGGAAGAAAGTCTTAAACACAGTATTTAAAAAGATAAAAAAAATATTGTTGAAGATTTAGCTTGATAGATTTGTTCCGATGCCGAAAAAGTAATATTAAAACAAAGTAATCCAATTGTACATCGAGTTTTTAAATATATTAGCGTTTAAGAGCGGTTACACTCGGTGACTTTTAGCAGCGATGCAAACGCAATGCAATAGCGATGCAGTCGCAATGCAGTCGCGATGCAGTTGCGATGCAGTCGCAATGCAGTCGCGATGCAGTTGCGATGCAGTCGCGCGTTTACATCGATGCAGGCGCCTGTAAATCTCAAGTGTAGCGATGCAAGTCGCCGTGTGTAACCACTCGTAAATGTTGCTGATATAATTATTTAAACATGTCTACCACACTTGTTTTAAATTAATTTAAAAAAGTGCAGGTCTTAATATTTCTTTTTTTTTATTTATTTATTTAATCATTATACGTTTGTTTATTTAATTTGATTCATTATTCTGCTAAGCTCTTTATTTCAAGGTTATATGTAGTAAAAAAGTTGAGCGTGGTTAAATTTTTCTGCGAATGCTTATTCGCAGAAAAATTTATATATAACTAATAAAAAATTATAAATAAAAAATAATTATACCAAACTCCGTACTAATTCGGTTTAGGTGTTTTCATCAAATTCATCGTACGAAAAAATGTATGAATCGGCAGTTAATAATAATTCTCTTTTAGGCCTTGGGAGAGGCGAGAGTTTAAAATAAATATAATAATAATACTTGACTTCGGTTCGTAAACGTGATTCAAACCAACGAACAAGCTGAGAAAAATAAAGTAAATAATAATAACAATATTTCAGACAAAAACAAATATCCATAGTTTGTTAGTAAAGAACTTAATAAGGTTAGTGTGATGCCATTGAAATATTAAAATTAAAATAAAATAAAATGAGGTAAAATTAAAATAAAATGAAATTATTAAATTAAAATTCAAATGCTATAAAATGATTGTAATTTGATTAATTCTTTTGAATTAAATTATAATCACGGAAAATTACATTAAATATAGAATTGAAATTGATCGAACAAAATAGATATATTATAATGAAGTCTAGTGCCCAGCTAATAACTGGTAAATTACCAAAGCCTTCCAAATGCATATAATTTTGTATTTTCAATAATTCCAGGTATTAATAGCGAACAACGGTATTGGAGCTGTAAAATGTATGCGATCGATCCGAAGATGGTCTTACGAGATGTTCAAGAACGAACGCGCTGTCCGCTTTGTCGTTATGGTGAGTTCTTTTTTTTTAACTAAATAACGCACACACTCAACATGTCCCTGGACTAGGAAAACCCTGTGTGGCGGTCTCAATCCATTTACCAAGTTTTATTGAGATCGGTTACTGGAAAGTGCGCGAAAACGGATTCATCCCCTAGTTTGCCACCATTGGAGGTGGAATGTTTTATTCAAATTTAAATGGGACCTATACTGAGGTACCCTCTTTCCAACAAAGAAGGAATTATCAAAATCGGTTCACAAATCCGTGTAATTGCGTAACTTACACATAAAAAAAGAGTCGAACTGAGAGCCTCCTCCATTTATTGAAGTAAGTTAATAAATGAAAAAGAAACTTATTTATTGCAATTCTTCATATCGACTGTGAACTGGCAACCGGTGCTATCAAAATTTTGACAACTTTACATTACATTTATAGCATCTGATTTATTAAATAAAAATACCTAGTTTTTAAATATTTTTATTACACATACACTACGTATTTTTATTTAACAAACCAGATAGTATATAAATGATGCAAGCAATTTTTTTCTTCACCTGTATAGTCAATGTAAAGTTGTCAAAATTAAGATAGTATCGGTTGCCAGTTCACAGTCTATATCGGACTTATTCATATCTATTATTTGTTTCGAAAGGGCAAAACATTGATTGATGCTTGCACGTACTGATATGAAACATGTTTACAGAGATGAATAAAATGATAAAATTATCTCGTTGATAACAATTTTGTGCTAAAAGGCTGTGACTCCACATCAAAACACTAAACAGCGATGTATACCTACAGCGCTGAAATCAGTGTTACATAACTATATATACCTACATCACTGAAAGCTGTGATATAAACCTACAGCGCTAAAAACTGTGATATGGTACAGTGCTGAAGTCTGTTATCTGTACCTATATTTTTTCCTTTATAATATCAAGTGACGGGACCCGTACGCTGCCGTCCACTAACCAAAATACGCCTAAGTGACAAATGGTCAAATATCCGTTTTAAAGCAAAAGATAAAATTCAAACTTCTCTTTTAAAAATACATAAAATTAGTTAATGTGTTCGATTTATCGGAACTTACCGTAACGATGCGTAGCTGAAATATCATTAAACAAATTCAATTCTAAAACTGGGTTATTGTTTTTTTATGATATCTGAAAAAATATTTTGTCTTTTAGCCGCATTTTAGTAAGCGGACGGCAGCATGCCTGTCCACAACAGCGGTGTCACTCAGAGCTTTAAATCGCAAAGACATAAGTTGACAAGTCCTTTCAAAACCGAAATACAATAATGCTGACATTACTGCTCGGCGACAAAAATAGGCAAGGCGGCAGTGCTACCCTGGACGAACTTTTTCACAAGCAATTCTACTGCTACTGTACTACTTACATGAACCTACACCATTTAAAATTGTGATGTATATATCCATAGCGCAGAAATCAGTGATCTATACCTACAGCACTGAAAACTGACATATACCTACGGACAGAAAAAATATTATTACACCTATAAACATTGTATTTGAAACCTCATTTATATTGGAAATTTCATTTTCAAACGTTATACTGTCTTTAAAGATTTAGATAGCACATTGACCTTTCTGTTATTGTAGTTATAATTTTTCTTTACAAAGATAGATATAATGCAATAAATAAATGTATAATTTCAGGTAACACCAGAAGATTTAAAAGCCAATGCGGAGTACATAAAGATGGCGGATCACTACGTGCCTGTTCCTGGGGGTTCAAACAACAACAACTATGCCAACGTGGAGCTTATTGTGGATATTGCTGTCAGGACTCAGGTTCAGGTAAGTTAACAACTAGCCAGTAAGTAGAATCAATGATTGTGGTTACGAGACAAATGCACACTAAATATAACAAGGTTCAAGTTACTTGACAAATAGACAGTAATTAGAAACAAAGGGTTTTAGAAATAATATCACGTTGGAAGCTTAGTAGTCAAATACACAGTTTGTAGAAAAGAAATATTTATTACAGAAAAAACGAAAAGATATTCGGTATTCGGCGACTAGGCGCCTATTTTGCTTGTAGAAAATAGATACCATTTATTGGTAATAGACAGATGAAGATCTTGATAAGTAAACAGGTGATAAACAGGAACTAGTCATTTTAGACACTACTTATAAGTAGACAGAAAGTGGACACCACTTATTAGATAGGCAGAAGTCTGTAAAACTAAATAGTCAAACTATAAACATGTAGCAAGTAGACATTACTAAATAGCTGTTTTTTTCATGAAGTTTTACAATGTTCCAGGCCGTTTGGGCAGGTTGGGGCCACGCTTCAGAGAACCCAAAGCTCCCTGAACTCCTGCACCGCGCTGGGGTGGTCTTTATAGGGCCTCCAGAAAAAGCCATGTGGGCACTTGGTGATAAAATCGCCAGTTCCATCGTCGCTCAGACTGCTGACATCCCTACTTTGCCATGGAGTGGAAGTGGTGAGTTGTTCTGTCTCTCTCTTTCCCTGTAGCAAATAATATATTATAGCATCCGGGAACCGCAATTGCTCAAAGATGCCTCAGCCAGTGCTACAGCGTTATGCCCTTTAAGGTATGCATCTTAGGTCTAGGTCACTGGACATAACAAAACTCTTCGCTTAGAAGCTGTTGTTAGGCTTCATTGACATAGGCCTCTGATGACTAGAAACCTAGCAGCTACTTTCCTAAAGAATAGGCTTTGCCATCTAAAGGGGAAATTAGCCTACACCCGTTCTAAGGTGCGATCTTCGATGAAATTTTGTACCGTTGACTGGTTTCGAACTCCTACTGCTATCATACCTATTTTTTTCGCCAAGCGTTCCTGTTCTGAAGGGTAAAAATGGCTAGTTCAACAAAAACACGTACATGCGTCTTGACAATTTCGCGTTTCTGGGTGACGGGGCGCAGTGGCAGTGCCCCTTCTTCTTATTCTTCTTTAAAATGCTATGGCTCTATCGAAATAAACGATGATTTTGGTAATGTCAAGTAAAAATGACTATGTGCGGTAGTCTTGTAACACTATAAACTTCTACTTTACAACCCCATCGATATAATCGGTAAACCCGCCAATGCCGTTGAGGAACGCACGAGTTTTTAACTCAAAGATTGACCGGTAAATTACGATAAAATTCACTGAGAAGAGAATCTACAACAACAGAGTACATACACGGACTATTACAAAAACAAATTGTTTTTTATAATTATTAATACAAAAATCGAACACTCAGAAAAAACACTCAGAAAAAATTCCTTCGATCGGGTCGGGTTTTTCTGTGTTCGATCTTTGTATTAATAATTATAACAAACTAGTGGAGTAATTTCACAAAAAATAATTGAATATCAATTCAATAAAAATTTAATTAATACAGTGAATAGCGACATCTCTCGCTAGGACTGGTAGCTGTAAAGGTACTAACTGGGTGATAAATCTGTCATAGATTTCTCATAGATGGCGCTACGACTAAAAAGTCGTTGAAAGACCAAGTACAAAGACACGACGCAAGCACATAGAAAAATTCGTGAGGTCCGTTGGTTCGTTCCGTGGCTTAGTTGGTATAGCGTCTGGCACGGTATGCAAGAAGACGTCGGTTCGAATCCGACCGGATCGAAGAAATTTTTCCTGAGTGTTTTTTCTGAATGTTCGATCTTTGTATTAATAATTATAACAAACTAGTGGAGTAATTTCAGAAAAAATAATTGAATATCAATTCAATAAAAATTTAATTAAATTGTTTTTTTTAAATAAACTTACACAGGACATAGACAAAGGAAGAGTGGACTGACGTTAAGAGGAAGTTAGATCTTTGCGATTTGAAGTTCAAAGTGGCATTGTAACTGTCATACAGGCGCGTCGTTTACGTCTAGACACTCATTACGTAAAAAAAAACTTTTTTTCCCTTCAGAACTAAAAGCAGAATACAATACCAAGAAGATCAAGATATCATCCGAATTATTCGCCAAAGGCTGCGTAACCTCACCAGAACAGGGTCTACAGGCTGCGCATAAAATTGGCTTCCCTGTCATGATCAAGGCGTCTGAAGGTGGTGGTGGCAAGGGTATCCGGAAAGTGGAGAACCCTGATGACTTCCATAACATGTTTCGACAGGTTAGTGTACCGATTCACTTTCAAATACAGCTTAAATATAAATTTGTATTTAAATCAATGAAACATAATATGGTTTTGGAATATCAACTACTTATGTAATTGGTGCCTGTACCAGATCTGGAAAGCGTGTGGTCGCGATGCTCACTTCCCGGTTAAAGCAAATGCTTTGAGAGTTGCAGCATGCTCTATTTAACAACTTAAAGTGAAATATATTTATAGATTAGAAGAGAAAAAAGCATAAACACACAGGAAGATGAAAAAAACAAAGCAACAAATAGGTAATCGGACAACTTTTCAATGAAACAAAAATATATTAGATTGTTTTCTAATTTATTGTTTGTTTATACTTCCGTTACAATCCATTTTAAACAAACAACTCACTGACCTGACCATAGACGGTTTAGTGATGGCCAATTGTAATGCCAACTACAAATTGATTAATTAATAGAATGAATTGATTTGTTTAATTGAGTCATACTAGCGGTTTTCCTTACTTAACCTGTAAAAGCATATTTAAAATTTTCGAAATCCTAATTTCAAATCCTCCTTCAAAACTTAGATACTCGATTTATTGCAATTGAAATTTTCGATTTACTAATCGATTACAAAAACTTTAATTGAATGAACCAAATGTTTTTTTCCGTACAGCTCTATGTAACCATAGACTATTTATACCTCTATAATTAAATCATAATTTCACTTTTTGACTTCCATTTTTCAAATTTTTTCGAAATATACGTGAGAGTGTTACTTATGCGATTTATTGAGTTATTGCCATTGACTTACAATTACATGGACGTCGGGTCCGCGCTAAAAAGTGTCCGCACTTGTAAGGCGCTAAAATCGTATACAGAGCGCGACACTCCGCTTTAGTCTTCATTTGTTCTATGGACAGCGCGATACTGCGATGACATAACAATTTAAATTTCGAATAGGTTGACTTGGGACATTTTTTTCGTGGTTTTTGTATTAGACCCGTCGTCCATTTATTTGTAAGTCAATGGTTATTGCTTTAGAATTGTAACCAGACCGGTTTGTTTACTTTTCGTCTAAAATGGATTAGATCTGACAATACATAGCATCATGCTTGTCTCAAATTACTTCTGCTTCCTTCACTCGCATCAGCCTTATTTTTGACCTGACCTCTTTTAAAGACATTTTCAGTCTATTCGAGATATGTACAAGGTGTGCTTTCCTTGTCCTTTCGCGTTCGCTGTATAAATTTGTATCATTACTATAGTACCTTCCATCTTTTCCGTATGCCCAAACCATTCATCCTTATCTACAACTCTCACTAATTACACTGCTCCTCATTTTGTCTCTAAGAAAAAGATTATCTAGTAGACAGTAAGTAGACAAAAATAGACAACTTGTACATATGTGCTATCTGTAGGTAATAATCAGTACATTGTCTATTGTGTTTGTTTTTGGAGGATTTCTAATTAAATGTAATTCTTTCGCAGGTGCAAGCGGAAGTACCCGGCTCGCCAATCTTCGTGATGAAGCTAGCGAAATCAGCCCGCCATTTGGAAGTGCAACTTCTGGCCGACCAGTACGGCAACGCCATATCATTGTTCGGAAGAGATTGTTCCATCCAGCGACGACATCAGAAGATCATAGAAGAGGCGCCTGCTGCTGTCGCTAAGCCAGACGTTTTCATCGAGATGGAGAAAGTACGAATATCGTTCTTTATCATAAATAGACCAAACTTACAATTTTGACGAAAAAAATATTTATACAGTTCGAATCAGAATTTCACGTTGTACATTGGTAATGTGAAAAATTCGTTTTTATCTAAAGTAACGTAGTTTTCGGGCCCTTTACAGGTCCCACCTGACCTGTAAAGGGCCCGAAACGTCGGTTTGTTTGAAAAAACAAATATATAGGCGATTTAAATCCGGAAAAATAGTTTCATTTCCGATGTGTAACAATCGCGAAAACCTAAGAACCCGATAAATTAGTTTTATCATTTTTATATATCATTATCAGCTGTACCGCTGTAGCGCTGCAATACCACTGAAAGCAAGTGACCTCACCAATCCGCAATGGACCAACCTGATGGACTTTAAAGAAAAACCCGTACCACCCAATGAGTCTAATACACCAAAAATGTTTGCGGGCGTGGGCTCACAACTCGCGAAAGTTCTGTCAAAATCGGACGAATTATAATTAATTGTATATGCATATAGATCGATTTTTAAATAGTAATTTAGTCAACAAGTTTTAACAATCGGATTTAAATGTCATATTGTTTTCACAGGCCGCAGTTCGTCTAGCAAAAATGGTAGGCTATGTGAGTGCAGGAACAGTGGAGTACCTGTACGATCCGTCCACTGGTTCGTATTATTTCCTGGAGTTGAATCCTCGTCTGCAAGTGGAACATCCCTGCACGGAGATGGTTGCTGACGTTAATTTACCTGCTGCTCAATTGCAGGTTAGTACTCATGAATTCTATATAAAGACAGTGAGTAGACAGTCAGTAAAATCTGAGTAGACTCTTAGACGGTTTGTAAAATATACAGTGAATTATACAAAGGGTAGTTAGATAGAATATACATTGTGTAAAATATTAACATTAAGCTCCAGACCTTCCCAGTAGATAATTAGTAGAATCTGAATAGACATTAAATTCGTACACATTGGATACAGTTCTATTAGGTCATGTGTGCGTGTAATAAATATATAGGTGGTGGTACGTTGGTAAATGCCTTCGTTTTTTTTTTATTAAATTCTATTTTTCCTGCCTACAGATAGCCATGGGGCTGCCTCTCTATCAAATCAAAGACATCCGCTTGCTGTATGGCGAGTCGCCGTGGGGCATGACACAGATAGACTTCGACGAGCCGAAGCAACGCCCGTCGCCGTGGGGACACGTTATTGCAGCGCGTATCACATCAGAGAACCCAGACGAAGGTTATCATCCTCTATCCATTTAAAGTATTGGTTCTATGTTAGGAATAAAACTGAAAACATATTAAGAAATCTTTAATCTAGGTTTCAAACCCTCCTCGGGCACCGTTCAAGAGTTGAACTTCAGGTCTTCAAAGAATGTGTGGGGCTACTTCAGCGTGGCAGCGTCGGGTGGTCTTCACGAGTTCGCTGACTCGCAATTCGGCCATTGTTTTTCTTGGGGAGAGACCAGGGAACAGGCTAGGGAGTGAGTATTATAAAACTAGATATCCTCCGGTTGGTCTGGTCTTAAGCAGGTTTAGGATCTAGCCTCATCTTATTTACTTCATTCAACAGAAACCTAGTAATAGCTCTAAAAGAGCTTAGTATCCGCGGTGACTTCCGAACGACAGTGGAGTACCTGATAACGTTGCTTGAGACGGCCGCATTCCAGGACAACAACATCGATACTAGTTGGCTTGACGCGCTCATTGCCGAGAGGGTAAGTTTGTTACTAAACAAGTAGTAGACAAATGTAAATATTAAGTATTAGACAACATTATATACGTTGCTCTGATCCCTATGTATTATGGAAATCGTAAACAACGACGGTACCACAAACGCCCTGACCTAAAAGTTAGTTTTCGACATTGATCCGGCCGGCGATCGAACTCGGGACCTCAGAGATGACGACACCATGAAAACCGGCGCGCAAACCATTCGATTACAGAGGTCGTCATTACGTAGACAGAAAGTAAAATATACCAATAGACATGAAATAGACATTCCGTAGAATACATAAATAGACAAGAAGTAGTCTTATAGTGTAAGGTTTCAATAGACAACAAATAGACGTTCAGTAGAATACACGAATGGACACTAAATAGAAGTTTTTCATCGGCTGTGGTACATATTTGCCTGCAATAAAATGTATTAACGTAATTTTCATAGGAAGTGTACACTGAAATGTTAAAATACTAGATAAAATTATTACAAAACAGTAAATATAACTTATTGCCGCAATATCACCTTTATAATAATAATAATAATAATAACGCACACACTCAACATAGCCCCGCACTAGGGAAACCCTGTGTCGCGGGTGCCATGGACACACACATAGACAACCACAAATTACACCCAAACTCACGAGAGAAATAAATGTAGGCCATACAAATATTTCTCCCGGCCCGGGAATCGAACCCGGGGACCTCTGCGTGGCAGTCCGGTATGGTAACCGTTCCGCCACGGAGGCAGTTATTATATTTGGAGTATTGATAGGGCTGAAGAGTAATTATGAGCTAGAAAAAACTTGTAATATTTTTTTTTCAGGTACAATCGGAGAAGCCGGACATAATGTTGGGTGTTATTTGTGGTTCCATCCTTATTGCAGACAGCATCATCACCACGCATTTCCACGAGTTCAAGAGTGCTCTCGAAAAGTTAGAATTTATTTTTATTTAAATAGGGAGTAACGAACAACTTATAATAAATTAAAATTGCTTTTCTATACAAATGTGCGCGATGAATCTAAAATTTATGATAATAATTATGTCCAGACAATCAAACCTATTACTTTAGAATTCCCTGTGCTTTGGGTAGCAGAGCAATGTAATTAACTTCGGCGCACTACCCACAACCCTCAGACCAGAATCAATTGAAGCTTTAGGTGCATCGAGTATATAACCAGAAATAGAGACGAAATAAGGGCCATATATTCCTGGTAACACATTACCGATACAGCTCTTATAAATATCAACTCTCGTTTGCATTGAAATATAGACAGGCCAACTACTGACCTGTGTGTATGTCTCCGTACATTCCAAAAAATATTCTGTTCTTATTGTAATAAAGATAATAACTCTAACAATGCCGTGCTGTTCTATTCAGTGGTGTGGAAAAAACAGCGAAACATCTAATTACAAAACAAACGGAATCACATTTCATCGGTAATTAAATATTAAATATGTAATTCTGCAATTTTCGTCCATTATAGCAAAGCTCAAGTTAACTGGTCGATTTGAAGTGAAACAGTTGACGACACCCGTCAATTGTTTCGAACTCGGGCTAGCCAATCGGAGCGCAGTTGTCACAGTAATGATATGGCAGAATAGTTTTCAAACAAATGAAATGACATTTCGTCTCTATTTCTGGTTATATTATTCGATGATTAGGTGTAACAAGGGCATATCATTAAAAGTGAGATTCGAGAAAATTGAAAATAAAGTTTTAACGTCTTATATCTTTTGAACATTTATAATATGACTCTTATATACTCTTATAAACATTTGAAAATATTTTTTTTCCTTGTGTTATCCGCCCTTGTTGCACCAAACCGGTAAATGAACGTAGCGTTCGTTTTATTATTGGTTTTTAAGGAAATTAATTGTGAATCAGTTTTATTTGAAAGTTGCATTGAAAATAAATTAAAATTATTTTTAATCATTCATTAAATTCGCTGGATTGCAATGAATCGACAGATCCGTCTTCAGCAGGTCTCACTGGCCTCCTAGATGCTCCATGTTGAGGATGTAGTCGCCCATTTCAGACATTTTTTTAAATGGAAATAAGTTTTTACAAACTGCAGGTGGTAACGTGTCCGAAATTCAAACGGAACGAGGGCGGAGCGCCACATTGTAAATTAATGAAACTTACGCCATCTAGAAGAGAGATCGAAATGAGTTTTCGTCACAAGATATTATACAGTGTTTTATTGTACATGTTTTGATGCAATAATATTAAAACAGGCTTTGGGTGCCGAGCTCTTGTTGTTCCCAATGCTTCAATTTAGAAAAGTACGTTTCCCTAGTTGGTCGTCGGTATTGCGTGCCAAATACGTCTCAGAGTTTTCAAAATCACTTCCTGATGAATTAAGTGATTTTGAAATAGGCCGCGATTGTAGAAACGCAAAAATACGTTATTTTCTCTTCACAGGGGCCAAATCCAAGGGTCTAGTACGCTCTCTAACTGTGTGGATGTGGAGCTCATTCACAGCGGTTACAAATATAAAGTGCAAGCTACGAAATCGGGACCAACATCTTATTTTGTTGCTATGAATGGGAGCTTTAAGGAATTGGAGGTTCATAAACTGGCTGACGGCGGTGAGTAACATTGTTCGAAAACTTTGTTAAATAAAATAATGCGGATATGTGGATTACTGGTTATCCCTATGAAAAATTAAATTCGAATATTTTAAATAGCACTTCTACCATTATGAAAATTTTATCTGTATATGTTATATTTCTTGTTTCGCGATAGTTTTATTACGTCAAAGATCTTCTACAATATGTGTGTAACTGTAAATACAGAAGATGTTGTTGAATGGTTAATTATTATGTTAAAGTATGTATATAAATAAGTACATAAAAAAGTTGCTTTTACTTAATTTAATTTTAATACACATATAGTAGTCAGTGTTTTGTTGGAATAGACAGGCAGTAAACAGTGTTTTGTTATAATAGACAGCCAGTAGATTGTTAGTAGCCGCGCTGCATAGTTGATAATGGATATCTTTATTATATGGAGAACAGACTGAATAATATATTCGAATAAACAGCGCAAATTATGAGTTTTAAATTTAAAACAATACGATGTAGTACAATACAAAAGTATTTTTTTTTTTTGTACAGGTACTCTTCTATCAGTGGACGGAGCATCCTTTACAACCTATCTTAAAGACGAAGTGGATAAATACCGTATCGTCATCGGAAACCAAACTGTCGTATTTGAAAAAGAGAAGGACCCTTCGAAACTTAGAGCGCCTTCTGCTGGAAAACTTGTCAATACGCTTCTTGAGGATGGTGGACATGTTGATAAGGGGCAGCCTTACGCTGAGATTGAGGTAAGAGAAATCGAAATTTGTAATAGTTGAATTATTTGCACCGACGACGTATATTATCTCTTGGAACGACTTTTAACTTATCATAAATTAACGCTTTCTTTACTCAAAGTGTACATGGAACATGGACTTAATGGTCTTGGTCCATCATACGAGTCATAGATGCGGTAAATGCTTTTTCTGAATTATAGTTTTGAATTATTTCTTTAATTATCAGGTCGTTTTTTAAACCTATAAGGATTATCGAGTTTAGAATTAAGTGCCAATGCGTAAAGTGTTTAAACTAGTCGTCTGCACTATATAAATGGCGAGACGGCTCACTTTTTTGTCGTATTGTATTCTAAAAACGAAGCGATAAGACGGACTGGTGTAAATAATATTTCGCTAATTATATACAATATACATAGACACGTAGACATCATAAATAAATGCTTAATAGACATTTTGTACAATAAATACGTACATGTTTAGTGTAATTAATAGACAAAGGGTAGATTGTACAGACGAATCTTATAAGTATTTTTTTTTAGTTTATTGCCAATAATTGAGTACGATGTAAAGGAAATAGACTATTCGCAAAGAAGGATGGTGACATCCCGTGTGTTTTGTGACCCAGTGTTTTTGAGGACGTGCATTAAGAAGACCTATCAATACTTGTAATTCATTATCTAAGCATCAAAAAAGCTAATTGAGTACAGCCTGTAGAAGCTGGGATTATAAAGTTGATGTAGGTCATGTTTATAACATTGTCCTGTATTTCGCTTCAGATGTTTGTCCGTAGCAGAAAACAACAACTTTTCAGTTTGTTCCTAAAAATAATAAAGAACTTGCTGAATATTCCCAAATCTGCCAAACTCTGTTACTTTTAATACAACGTTAACATGTTCTGTCGCAATGAAAAATTAAATCTGCCCAAATGGCAGATATATGTATGCCACAAATGGTCACACTGTTTTCTGAGGCCTCTTGTCAAAACGTTCCTTTGCTAAGTTTCTTATTTCTCATTTGAACAATGAAACGGAAAAATATTTGTCACAGTGTGTTTTTTTTACTTTACGTCATTACCCTTTAATTGATTATTTGATTAGGTATTATAAAACTTTAATGTTTTATGTGTGTACTATAAAATAACCAATACTTTAGGTCGGTAAACATTCAGTCATACTTAAAATGAAACGTACATACAAGAACGTTACATAATCTATGGTCGAACTGAACCAATTGCGTTGTGTTCTTGCATTTATTTTAAAATACATTGTTTTACAATTTCTTTATTCCCGACTTCTAAAAATATACAAAAATATATTGATAAATAGGCATAATAAACTAAAACGTAAAATTATACTTATAGTCGATGAATGGCTGTTCGTTTATTTCATAATTATTGGGTCAGCTTTCTCCATCCTTCTTTACAAAAACCCATTGTTGATGAATGTTCAATAATGTAGATGAGGCAAACGGCTTACAAAACTTATATTGTGAATAGAAAACATAAAGTGACAAGCACAGTGGCCCTTCCAATTTTTTTGTGATATAAAGCTCTGAGTGGCACTACAACTGTTATGAACAGGCGTGTAGCTTACGATCAAGCACACGACTTGTTCGTCCAGTCAATCAGTCAGTCTTAACATTATAAAAAAAGGCCAACTAAGCTGAAAATTACCTCTATATATAATAATTATTTATTTATTTATTTTTTTTATTTAGACTTTTTTTAGGCCACATGATCCACATAATATATACCTTAATGACTAACATACATACAATATAATATAACTATAAAATGTGTGGCGCAATCTGGTGTCATAATATTTCAAGATGAAAGAAAGAAAAGAAATTAAAATGATTATGGAATAATGTTTGGTAATTTACGCGTAACCTTAGAAAATGTAATAAACGGTCTCTTTTACAGGTAATGAAAATGATCATGACTCTATCTGCTCCTGAGTCTGGTAAAGTAACTTGGAACCTACGTCCTGGTGCTGTTTTGGATATGGGCTCTCTTATTGGAACTCTGGGTGAGTGTTACTGCTGGAAAGTTGCATTATCTCTATGTCAAACCCCCGACGCAAAAAGGCTGAGCGAGTTATAGTGTCATCGTTTGTTTGGCTCTTGTCTAAACAATCTTTAGAAATCGAAATTGTATAGCTAGATGCATTGACTTACAATTATATGGACGTCGGGTCCGCGCTAAAAAGTGTCCGAACTTATAGGGCGTTAAAATCGTATACAGAGCGTCATTCACGCTCTAGTCTTCGTTTGTTCGACTGACAGCGAAGCAAACAAAATTAGACAGTACTGCGATAACATTACAATTTAAATTCAACGTTTTAGCTTTTTCATATTCCTTGACATGTCACTACGTTTAAATAGGTTCACTTGGGACATTTTTTTCGTGGTTTTTGTATTAGACCCGTCGTCCATTTATTTGTAAGTCAATGGCTAGATGTCAATATTTTGCTCTAAGTATAGAACTTTTTTGTATGATACCTAGTGTCGGGGCGAACAAGTTTTGCACCTGGTGGTAAGCGACACTCCTTTCCGTAACCATTGTAGTGCCACTCAGAGCTTTAGGCTGCCAACAGATTGCCTACATGTTTGCAGTTAATGCGTGAAGTCGTTATCAACTTGCCACGGTCATGCTGTACCGTATCATTGCCTAACCATTCGTTGCTTAAAAAGGTATCGGCTGCGGTGAAAAGGTTAACCAAAAATCTCTTACTAGATGTCACTAGCGGCGACGAATGTGAAAGTCAGTACAGTGATCTGTAACAAAAACACATAGGAGAGTCAGAGCAATGCTACGGTGCAGCATGGTCGTGGGTTCAAGTCCCACCGGGTCAACGAAATTTTTCTGCGTGTTCGATCTTTGTGTTCATAATCATAATTGAAAGCTTTCATATTTGTAATTGTTGTATTTTTTTCATAGAACTGGACGACCCGACACTAGTAACTACAGCGCAGCCCTACAAAGGGCAGTTTTCTTTGGAAGACAACCCGCCTGTGTCCGAGAAGCTGAACCACGCGCACAACAAGTTTAGGTCTATATTGGAAAACACTCTTGCTGGTTAGTACTATGAGTGATACATACAGTTATTAGCTATGTGGGCGCTAGATGAAGTCCTATTGCGTCAGCAAGATTTTTTGAACTTTCTATTGAATTTTGTTTCTGTTGTTTTTGTATTTTTATTTGCACAAAAGTTTTGAATAGACTAGTAAATAACGCAGTAATATAGGAAATGAAACTATTTTTCCGGATTTAAATCCCATGGGACCTGTAAAGGGCCCGAAACGTCGGTTTGTTTGAAAAAACAAATATACGCGATTTAAATCCGGAAAAATAGTTTCATTTCCTATGTGCAACAATCGCGAAAACCTAAGAACTCGAAACGCAGTAATATTCATTTTTTTAATAAGCTTATTTTTAAGTTATTTTTCGTAGCTTTTATTACTACTCTTTTATTATTATTAATTAATTTATTTGAATCAGGCAGCTTGTCATATATTACTTAAGGACTAACATACATATGACCTAATATAAAAATTAAATTACTAATTGTACGTGTCGGCGACGTGTGACGCAATCTGGTGTCAGGTAAACGGACGCGGAAACGCCAATATACGACACTCTTCAGCCAAAACTCCTCCTTCACGAAAGCGATGAACGTTGGGTCGGCAAATTCATTACAAGTGAATTAAAATTCACGTTGTAACGGGACTCCAATCGCTCGACAAGCAGGGTGTGTTTGGCTTTTAGACAGATGTATTCCACTGTGACCTCCTTACATCGTCATCCCACCTTTTTATCGCCTTTCTAAGGTTTTTGGCCACTCGTATTTAAATTTTCAATTGTTCCATAGCTCATTTGCTATGCATTCTGGGGATCTTTAAATTTAAAATTAAAAGACAAGTATCACGTATGAAGCTTCATTCGCATCACGCGTCTTTTCATTTGGTCATGTATTGCTTATTTGGCAGTAATTGTTTCGGACGGAGATCGAGAGTAGACCCCCATATTTTGTTTCGTTTCACCGTCACTCCCTCGATCGCGACAGCGTACGGAGCTGGTTAAGATTCAATTGCGTCTAATTTTGATTCCTTTACTAAGTTTATAATCATTAGTAGTCTAAATCATGTGACAACTTTAATAAGTTTATAACCACTGCAGCCTTTATCATGTACCTATGAATACGTATCTGTAATTCAGTATAACTCGGCCCTTTTAGGACTTCTTTGTTATCTTTTCTTCTCTTTAACCGACTTAAAATAAATTTTCGGCTTGTTAGGGTTACAACACTTTAACAACTATCTCCTCAGACTTCGTAGAGTAATGCAATTAAGATTGTTATCAAAAGGGTATTGCCTCCCCGAGCCGTACAACACGCCGCGCCTGCGCGAGGTGGTCGAGAAATTCATGCAGAGCTTAAGGGATCCGTCATTGCCTTTACTCGAGCTGCAGGAGGTAAGTGCACAGCAAAGTACCATACATAATGGGTATTGAGTTATTAGCTCGTAAGACCCCTGGTGGCTAACGCGGGAAGTATTTTTTCCCTATAGATACACGTCTACCCCTCCTACGTAAAGCATCGTAGGTTGAAATTGCCAAATTTACAAGGGAACGTTTTAAAGTCTCGAATTAAAAAAAAAAGTCTGAAATTGGCATAACACGTGACTTTAGAATTTCTCAGTTTTATGTGGCAAAGCTCATTACTCACATATTTCATCGGTAATTAAATAATAAATATGTAATTTTTCAATTCGTCCATTGTAGCAAAGCTCAAGTTAAACTGGTTGATTTGAAGTGAAACAATTGTCGACAATTGTTCCGAATTCGGGCTGGCCAATCGGAGTGTAGTTGTCACCGTAATGATTTGGCAGAATAGTTTTCAAACAAATTAAATGACATTTCGTCTCTATTTCTGGTTATATACTCGATGCTGTTTGTACTGTGTGTGTTTACTGTACTATGTGTACCACAGGATACTCATGGTACAGGGTCTTCTCTACTTCGAGAACAGGCAATTTTGTGGTTATCTGGCACATTATTGTTAATAATAATTTTCCCAAAGGTACTGTCGTCAACTTCAGGCCGCATCCCGATCTCGGTAGAGAAGAAAGTGCGCAAACTCATGGCCTTGTATGAACGGAATATCACCAGCGTTCTGGCGCAGTTCCCCAGTCAACTGATCGCTAGTGTCATTGATCAGTGAGTATTTAGTTCATAATTACAGGCTTATCGCTTAATTGAGTCGGTTTCTGAAGTAGCTTCACGGTGCGGGAGGAATAACAGTTTACGGAACGGCTATGTCGCGCTGCACACGGAATAATTTCAACAAGATTTTTCTGATGATGTTCAATGGCAGGTTGACTGAAGAAACTGCCTACCAAATTATTGTTATGTGAAACGATAAAAAAGCTATTTAATTGATAATTGAAATGAATAGACAAGCCATTTGGCACTTTTTAACCGACTTCAAAAAAGGAGAAGGTTCTCAATTTGACTGTATTTTTTTTCATGTTTGTTACGCGATAATTTGTGAATGTGTGAATTTGTGATTTTTATTTATTTATTTATTTGTTTGCAAACATTACAGCTTTTAAATTTGGTTTACAATTCTGAATAATCTACTTACATAGCCAATTACAAAGTTTGTCAGATTACAATTATTATTTTTTTTCAAAGAACAATCTAACAAATTGAAATACATATTGATAAGATATTATAACTAAATCCCGTTGTATTAATAGATTTAGACATTATTTTTTTAATTACTATATTTTTTAAATGAAGCTACTTACAATATAATATAATATAATAAACAAATGGACTATAGTAGAGTATGCGCATTTTGACGATTCTTTTTTTGTTAGAAAGAGGGTATATTAGTATTGGTCCCATTTAAATTTGACGACAATATTCCTCATATAGGGGGGTAAACTAGGAGATGAATCCAGTTTCGTTCACTTTCCGTTAACCGATTTCAATAAAACTTGGCATATAGGTATAATTCCAATGAAACAGCCAGTCTGTCAATTATAATTTCGTAAACCATATCATAAAGGCGCTCTTTTTAGTTCAGAATCAAAATTCTATTGTCTATAGTATTCGTCACTACAACAAAAATTTAATTAAAGTTGTGTACATAGAACTATAATGAATATTATACAGAACTATAGTGAGTTTCAAAAAAAGAACGTCGTATTTTTGCTAATTAAAATATCAGATATGTCGCTACTCTAACGTTATACTGCCTCTTGTTTGGTTAAATTGGTCTAAAAGTCTTGCTACCGGGCCATAAATCTTCATTAAAAAAAATTATTTGTTGGAAATATATGCAGTACTTGGCCAGTTCTATTCTATCTCTTTGGTTTTTTGTTTTGTAGCGTTTGTTTGGCTTTCGTCTGAATATATGGAAGAGGCTGTATGGTAGAACCTTTGCCTACCCTAATAAATGGATCAAAATTTATTAGAAAAATTGCGTTTGTTGTCATGGATCAAAATATATATTAAATATTGATTTATTATTTTAAATGGAGCGACTTCTTTGGATTCTCCGGTAAAAATGGGTGTTCCGCAGGGCTCAATACTAGAACCTTTCTTATTTCTGATTTATACTAATGATCTGCCTTTCTTTGTTAAGGACTATTGCGAAATAGTATTGTTTGCAGACACATCCTTGATTTTTAAAACAGACAGACATGACATTAACTATGACGATATTAATGATAACCTCGCTAAGGTAGTATATTGATTTAATGCTAACAATTTATTGCTAATGCCAAGAAGACAAAATGTGTTAAATTTGAATTACCTATAATAATAAAAATCCATAAGTCCAAGCATAGAAATAAACTATATAATACGTGATATATAGTAATAGAATACGTGAGCTTACCGATGTTGCTACTGCTAGACTAGTTTACTTTAGTTACTTTCATAGTATAATGTCCTATGGGATTCTCATGTGGGGTAAAGCGGCAGATATACACACCATATTTGTGTTGCAAAAACGAGCGATTCGTTCTGTGGACCGTTTAGGTTCTCGGGTTTCTCTCAGAGAAAAGTTTAAGGAGACTGGTATCACGACTGTGGCATCACAGTACATTTACTTAAATATTTTATATGCCCGTAAAAATATACATAATTTCAAGACAAGAAAGAAGATAGTTATAATATTAACCTTAGAGCTAAGTCCAAACTCATGGTGCCACGATTTCATTTAACCAAGGTAAACGACTCTTTTATGGGGAACTGTATACGTTTTTATGCTTAAATGTGACGTTTTCAAGTGTAAATTTATTTTACCTATGGAATAAACGATTCTATGACTTTGACTTTGATTAAAAGTATTGTATGCAATTATTACATAATTAGGTCTTAAAACCTCGTACCTAATACTTAGGCCACTCGGCAAAACCTTATGGCCTAAACACGCTGCTCGACTTTAAGAACCTTTATTATGCAACAATTGCAGAATTAAAGAAATTGAGTTCTATTTTTGAGTTCGGAGTCTGATATTTTAATAAATATTATAACTGCCTCCGTGGTAGAACGGTTACTGTGATGGACTGCCACGCAGAGGTCCCGGGTTCGATTCTCGGGCCGGGAGAAATATTTGTATCGTCTACATGTATTTCTCTCGTGAGTTTTGATGTCATTTGTGGTTGTCTATGTCCATGGCACCGGCGACACAGGGTTTCCCAAGTGCGGGGCTATGAGTGTGTGCGTTATTATTATTTAGAATAGAATAGAATAGAATACGTTTATTTGCCAGAATACAGTAATTATAAAGGTCTTAAGCAAAATTAGGTACATTGTATTCAACCTGCAAGCAGATGTGCTAATATTAATGGGATTCAATGTTTCTTTAGTCTCTGTAGTTTCTAATTAATGTAATGAATTTGTAAATTCTAAGTATTCTTTATTACTATAGAAGCAATGTGTCAAAAGCCATTTTGTCAATTTTAATTTAAAAATATGTCCTTGTAACAATTTAATTTCGTTTGGTAATTTATTGTAAAATTTATTGAATATCACGATATTTTTTTTTTTAAATGACGTCACACCCGTACGATAACTCGAACTTCTCGACCGGCAAAGGCTACAAACGTTATTCAGAACATAGTTATCGAATGAAAGTTACCGAACGTCCTATTGCGTACAAAGCAAGAATGTACTATGGAAATCTGTTATTATTTTAAATAAAGTCTGGATTTTGTTCAATTTTATTAATTTATTTTAATGCAAGATTAATGTATTCCTATATTATAGGCCTTTAAAGTCTTAAAAATGGACGTAAAAGGATTTCCATTTTTTTATAATCTATTTCATCGACTAACTCCGTAAACGCTGTTAGATAACGATATCGTATCCGAAACCGAATCGAGCGTTTAACTCGGAATGTTTTGAATTGCTCGAAAAGCGCCCTTCGATTCGAGAACGATACCTAATCATAAGATTCGGTTAAACATCGAAGAGTTCTGAATCGGGGACCTGGTTTGGTACAGAAACAGGTTCGAGTCCTGTCAGGTCGAAGGATTTTTTCTTTACATTTGATCTTTGTATTAATAATTTTTTTTTATAAATTATATTATTAAAATATGGTTTTTCACATTATTAACTATTGTTCACAGTCACGCGGCGTCGCTGCCAAAGAGAGCCGACAGAGATGTGTTCTTCATGAGCACCCAAGCGCTCGTTCTTTTAGTGCAGAGATACAGGTGAGTATTCGACCACAGACCAAATACAATCCATCGGGTGTGTAATATATCATATAAATTTTTTTAACATAACGCTCAATTGTCATAATTTCATTTCAAATAAACTCATTTAATATAACAATTCACTTCATATAACAAACTTTTAATATAAACTTAAATATTATAATTTCACTTTATATAACAATCATGTACTCTAACACTCATTTCTAATAACAATCATAAGTTATAAACCTCAGTTAATATAACAACAATTTATATAAATATCATTTAACCTAACGCCTGATTATACGCAAGTAGCAAAAACTTTTAAGAAGCATAGCTTCGAACTTAAATTTAAAAAGAAATTTCTAATGAATATTAATTATAATAATTATGAATATAAACTAATTTTTTCCTATGTTTTACTAAATAAATGCTGATTATATGTGTATAATTCTTTTATTTCAATTTCAACAAACGATATTCCTAAAACTAATAGTATATCAATTATAATTTGACCTGAAACTATGTTCGTAAACGCAAACAAATTCGCTTCTGGCACTCGCCGGCCGCTGCCGCGGCACGCTCTCTGCGCTCACTCGGCTCGTGCGGCTTTTTCATATACTAACCTAACTTAACCTACTAGATAGAGGACGCAACCAAGATTTGACCTATGTGAAATACATTTGTTTTCTTTTAAACCACCAAGGAATCCAGTGTGTAACAATAATAATTTTGTCGAAACGAAGATTCAGCTATGTAAACTATACTATTGAAAACATAAAGTTACACTCTAGTATCGAACAGACAAGTACCACGGCGAGCCGGGTTTAACTTTATTATTTATAAAAAATGACATTATACTATGTGAAAATTATCAGAATTGACAATATATGAAATGACAGTTATATGATATGAGCTTTATTTTAAAAAAAGTTATAAAATGTGAATGTTATATCAAACAACAATTATATGAAGTTAAAATATAGGAACTGAAATTAGTCCAAATGAAAATTATATTATATGAACGGTATATGTTCTGAAATTAGTTTATTTGATTTTCGAACAACTGAGACGCACCCACAATCCATCATATACTTACACAAATTTTAGTAACAGTAGAGCTCCTTGTGAAAGATTCCGTCCAGGGAAATGGGGTAACCTTACCTATTTCTGCAGCCAAGCCGTAATGTGAGCATTACTGACTTGTCAACTTATGTCTCACAGTGACGGGAACAGTGGTAGTGCCCTTAAGCTCTTGTTGCATTACAACTGTTACGGGCGTGTCGCTTACCACCAGGTCTCGACTTGTTCGCCCCGTCGCTTAAAGGTATACAAATGCAAGGGCGACTATGACCGCGGCGGCGAACATTGAGAAAAGGTCGATACATCGATACGAGAATGTTTATTTAAACTATTTACTATTTAGGAACGGCATCCGTGGAAGAATGAAGACGGCTGTCCACGATTTGCTCAAGCAATACTACCAGGTCGAAAGCAATTTCCAGTTGGGTAAGTCGACATTTCTGTATGCTGTTCCTTAAAATATCTAATACAGTAACTCATTTTTGGTGCTGATAGCCAGTCGTCTTAAAATGTTAAGAGAATTCAACTTTATTAAAATATAATGTCGAAACAAAATTGATTAAAAATATAAATCTTAATTTAAAGTGTCTATGGTCTACTTTGATTTAAATTTTCACGATTTTCACACATTATTTGATTTTTTAATTCGGAGCTTAATCATGTATAAAACATATTTTAATTACCTCGACGGTTCGGACGTATTGCAACGTCCATGATCTCGAAGGATGGTCACGGTTCAACCGGAGTCAACCGTGACCATGGGACCTGGTAAGGGCTCGAAACGTTGGTTTCTTTGAATAAACAAATATAATATAAATCCGGAAAAATAGTTTCATTTCCTATGTGTAACAATCGCGAAAACCTAAGAACTCGATAAGTTTTACTTATGGTTCTTTTTTAACCGACTTTTAAAAAGGCCCCTCCTTCTCAATTCGGTTTTTTTTATGGTATGCCATTGCACGGCATTTGTGAAACGATTTCGATAATTGTTTTTTTTTTTGGAAAGAGGCTACCATTTATATTTAAAGAAAATATTCCACCTGTAAGGGAGGCAAACTAGGGTATGAATCCGGTTTTGTGCACTTTCCGGTAACCGATTTCTATAAAACTTGGCAAATAGATGTAATTCTACGAACTTTTGAAGTCGGTTTTATTTTATAAAAAAGTTGTAATTTTACTTTAATATTGTTATTTAATTCGTTCAGTGGCAACTAGAGTTACTATTAAGAGAGCGAGCTAAAACGTCTTGATCTCCATCTATTTCTTTCACAGTCATTAATATACTCTTTAATATTAATAAAACTCTCCGCACAGGATCATACGATAAATGCGTAATGGCGCTCCGAGATCGTTACAAGGATGATATGCAAGCCGTCGCTAACATCATCTTCTCTCACAATCAAGTAGCTAAGAAAAATTTATTGGTGAGTTTTTCTTAAGTAAATAGACAGTACGTAGACAGTGTATATTATGACAATAGACAGTAGAATGTGAATATACAGTAAGTAGAATTTTAAATAAAATTATTAGACAGTTAGTAGATTCAATAGACAACACGTAGACTATTAGAAAATGTCAGGTAGTAGTAGAAAATAGCAATGTGGTTTTCACTTATAAATATTTAACGTCTTCTCATTATAACAGGTCACTCTTTTGATCGACCACCTGTGGTCCAACGAACCGGGTCTGACCGATGAACTGGCTGCTACATTGAACGAACTTACGTCCCTGCATCGTGCTGAACACAGCCGCGTCGCTTTGAGAGCTAGACAGGTGAGATTTTTCAACATTTCCAGTTTGTTTTTGGGGTATTCAAACTGGCAATCGGTCAGACCGTCTACCTGATGAAAAGTACCTACAACGGTCTACAGGATTAACGATGACAAATGTTGACTTGGATTAGCTGCAATTAAGGCGGTAGATTTCTGGGTTTCGGTGGTAGTGTGCGCAGGCTTGAGGTCCTTCATCAAAATTCTGTAAACGCATTTGCCCAGTGCATCCGATTCGTATTTGTTCTGACTGTACAGATCTAGAAAACTCGGACCCACTTTGGATGTCGCTTGTATAGATAATATGATCCCTGTGAGATTTCACCGTATAAGAACGTCATTTCTCAGATTCGGAACTGAAATTGGACACTACGTCCAAACGCGCAAACTCTCTAACAGTAGAGCTCCTTGTAAACGAGACTTGCAAAAGAGCCCTGGGAAGCAGTAAAGTTCACATTCCTGCGTTCCAGTTTTGAAAGGTAATGGCGGCACTGGTGGCACTGTATCTATTAGAGCCTATACACACGGCGTATTTTATACGCACCGACGACGCGCAGATAACGCGATTCAAACGCGGTAGAGGCGCAGCGAGTAAACCTTTGCACACATTCACAAATTCAGTGGCGTCATTTTTTTTTAATTAGTTGAATTTGGTCAGTCAACAATTGTTACACCAATAAAATATCAGAAAACATACATGCAAGAAAAAAAAACCTATTGTAGACCGACACAACATGCGCAATAAATTATTGCAGAGTAAAAAGAAACTTACAAAAAGAAAAGTGTAAACATTAATTTAACTATATAAATCACTTACAAAAACAAATACAAATAGTGTTAATATCTTAAGACTAAGCGAAAGCATAAAAAAGAAATTAGGTGACAAAGTTTTAGGAAGGTTGTAAATCAGATATATAGAGAAGTAGTGTAAATCATTTCAATTGTAGATCATTGTACATATACACGCCACAGACGCACTGTAGTCCCGCGTATGTACGCATTTTGATAAGAGACAGTTTTGATTTTAGATTTGTTACGTAATTACGGTTAGGTGTTGAAGTGAAGCAACTGAAAAAAAAAAAAAATAAAAGCACGCACACTGCGCTTTTTTAAACATTGCGAAAATAGTTTTAAGGGAAATGTAGTGACTGTATTAATTATTACTATTCGTTTTTGGGTGTTTATTTAGCTTGCGTTGCACGAAACACGGAGTGTGCTAAGCTTCTTGCTTGCAACGCGTTTTTTGCGTGCTTTTGAATCGATGCAATGCAACAATTTGCCTTTTGAGTCTCTACAGCGCCAAAAAGGCGTGTTCGCGAAACTCTTATGGGTAGGCTTGTCGTTAACCACCAACGTTCCGTTACTCGGTATAATAAAAAAAAAACAGATCTCAATTGTTCAACATATGACCTGTCCATATCCTTCCAGGTGCTAATAGCAGCGCATCAACCCGCCTACGAACTGCGCCACAACCAGATGGAGTCCATCTTCCTGTCGGCAGTTGACATGTACGGACATGACTTCCATCCTGAGAACCTGCAGAAGCTAATCCTGTCCGAGACATCAATATTTGACATATTGCATGATTTCTTCTACCACACTAATGCTGCGGTGAGTACTTAGGTTAAGTTTTTTTAATTTTCGGTTTCTGAATGTATAATTACTCTGCGATTTATACAGTTCTGTGGACAAACTTTAAACATTTTAAATAAACCTTAAAATACAGATCGTTCGTATACCACAAAGCTTTTACATACTTAATGTGACAGACAATAAAATAGCATAATATACAGTATAGAAGAAAACATGTATAATAGTCCTTAGAATAGACAGCCTTTACATTGGTATAGACTGTTAGTAGAATAGGTAGCCAAATAGTCTTCTCTACCGTAGAAATGTTTGGACATGAATTCAAGAATCTCTTAGCGTAGAGCGTATGCACAGACATATATCTAGATAGACGCCGCAGGTGTATGTACTTCGCGTGCCCAAAAGAAGTGAAATTCACTTACTTGCCGCTGCTACACTTCAGAACGCGCTCGACCGTTATCGTAGATAAACACCAGTCGAAAACGCGAAAAATGCATAATTGTGCCATTATAAACTGCAAAAGCACCATAACTGTGGGTAAACGTGTGAACAGGGACATTTCCTTCCACGGGCAAGTGATTTTGTAAACAGAAGATGCATAATTTATCTTAAAAACAATTATTTTGGTTTTATATGAATTTCGAGAGAACAAATATGCAACCGAGTGTATGCCTCATGATTTGTAATACATTGCGGCTTTTACTTGGTGCGATATATTTGTGATCATTTGTTAATACGCCATGAATATCAAACGAATGCACTTTTGTATAATGCATTCAGTTTCGTGGTACGGCCGCTTGTACATTTCTTTGGTCAAATTTAACATTTAGTGATGTGTACGTTAGGCAACACTGTTCTCGATTCTTATCGATTTTGAAAACAAAGGGACGAAAATTATTATGACCTTAGCAATATTATAAAAATATTCTATAACTCTTTTGTCATAACGTTTAGTAACGTTTCGTTTTTTTTCAGTTTTGTAATATCTGTTATTAGTAGTATCTGTAATTTCGATATTTTTTGCAGCACGTTGCCTCGCATGTCTCAATATAGTGAGCAAATAATTACATATATCGCCGGATATGTAGTACGAGTAATACAAAAAAATATATAATGCAAAGAATTAACAGTGCGCTGTCTTTACAAAAACCTGGAGTAGATCATACGTATGAGTTCGTTGCTTTCGAGGACGAAGGTCTTTATCTATTTACTTTATCCCACCTAAGATGCTATCCAAATATGCAGAGTAGCAGAGTTGGAAATCCGAGAAATATAAAAAAATCACAAAAATTTCACGCGAAGCCGTCATTAAGTAAACCTCTTCTGATTAATAAGATTTTACCATATTTTGTCAGTAACCATCTAGTAAACCAACAGGAAACCATCTAGTAAAGTTAATTAAGGCAGTCGCAAGTTCATGTATTGACGTGCGTTTTCATTATTTAAGTTAATCGATAAGATCTTCTATTACAAAAAGATGTTATACAATAAGCTCATTTTATTGGAAGGACAATAATTTTAGTATTTGATGTTGATTAAAAATTAAAGTCTTAATTTTTTTTAAGTATCAACATTTTTCAAAAAAAGTAAAATAAAGGACTTAATTATCTTATTCCAGTATTTTTCTACTATACTAATATTACGACTACTTGTAATCAACAAATGCTTGAACAAAAATTATTTTATTTAGAATCGATTTATTGAATGGAAATTCCGTTCAATCACTCGATTTAGAGCCAGCGGAAGGAGGTTTCCATCACTAAATAGTTCTTGTGACGTCATAGTGGATACAAAAAATGTGACACGCTTGGTTTTCATAGAAATTGCTGTACTTGCGGCGTCTATCTAGGTATATGTCTGTGATCGTATGTCTTTATTTTTCCGTTTACTTCGTGTTATAGCTACGTTTGTTATAATTTTTATTTATGCTAAACAGACTGCAATAGAAGAGACAAAACATAGACAAAAAGTATATAGTATAAATATACAATATATAGAATATTTATGGTGTGTAGAAACGATTGAAAAAAAGGAATAATCGATCGGCATGGTAACTGTTCGTCCACAGAAGCAGTTAAATTGGCTAAACTAGGTAAAAATAGTTGTTAATCTATCGATTGACTAGCCACATCTGGAGGGGATTTCAAATTAAAATGCAAATGGCAAAGTATATAGGTAAAAGCATCGTGACCGGACGTTTAAATTAAATTGTTGCATTATTATTAAGAAAAGTAAAAAAAAGTTGAACTTTTTAAGACTGCAGTAGCGTATACATTGAGTACGATGTCTGTATAATCTGTAACAAAAATAACACTTATACGGTATTTTAATTTGATTTTTTTTTTACGAAACAATATATACTGTTATAATTATTAATACAAAGAACGAACACTCAGAAAAAAATTCCTTCGACCCGGCCGGATTCGAACCGACATCTTCTAGCATACTGTGCCAGACGCTATAACAACTAAGCCACGGACCTCACGAATTTTTCTGTGTGCTTGAGGCGTATCTTTGTATTTGGTTTTTCAACGACTTTTTGGCCGTAGCGCCATCTGTGAGAAATCTATGATATTTCGTCACCCAGTTAGATACCTTTACAGCTACCAGCCCCTCATTTATTTTTCTCAATAATATATTTTTTTCAAAATGGAAATTTTTTCATGACCCAACACTATTTGCAGCTCAATAATCTTCTCCAACTTACCGAAACAAAGAGCTCCATGTCGAACCTCACCATGTTGAAACCCGACAGCTCTAAAGGCACCTGTCCCCTTGCTATCATGAATATCACCATCTTTCTAATGCTCTGGTCTTGAACGTCTTCCCATCCACTGGTGTATACCACGGTAGCCGTTTCTGATGACTGATCAAGAAAAATAATTCGTATATTCGGTTCTCGGATCGGTTATTTTCTCGGACGTAAATCGCGTTTTTGCAAAATTGTTAACATGTCCCATGGTCGCTGTACTGAGATGGTATTAATTGTCAACCAGTTATGTCAAATATTTATGACTGCCTCCGTGGCCGAACGGTTACTATGCTGGACAGCCACGCAGAGGACCCGGGTTCGATTTCCGGGACACATATTTGTATTTGTTGTACGGGATATATATTTGTATGGTCTTAATTTATTTCTCTCGTGAGTTTGGTGTAATTTGTGGTTGTCTATGCGTCCATGGCATCCACGATAGAGGGTTGTCTTAGTGCGGGGCTATGAGTGTGTGTACGTTACTGTTGTATATATATATATTATTATTATGTATGTAATGGTTATTATATATGTATATTAGTATGTTTATGCTATATTATGTTTATATCGTATGAATTAACATCAAATTTTGGCTTATGGTATTTTGTTATATTTTTGTTTAAGTGTAGCACCAATCTTAAGTTTTTTTTCTGTTAGGCCCAATGGTTGACTGGTCGAGAATATACGAGGTCGCCCTATGGCGTTAATGGAATGTGACAATGAGGGCGACGATGTAGCATGCACACCTAAATAATGCCTATTCACTCTCGCCTTGAAAATTCTTCAAGTTATAGTGTTATGCAAAAAAAAAATTATGAATAGTCTAGGTGGAAACGCTTGTTAGTCGGAGTGCTAGGTTTTAATTTCATCGAGGGGTTTGCCAATGAGTGAGTGGTTGTACGAATGAATTAAATTTGAGTGAGTTATAATTATTAACACAATGGTCGAACACTTTTCCTTTGACCCGGCTGTATTCAAACCAGTGTCTACCAGCAAACCGTGTCAGATTCTATGCCAACAAAAGCTACGGAACGAACTAGCGCACCTCACGAATTTTTCTATGTGCTTGCGTCGTGTCTTCGTATTTGGTTTTTCAACGACTTTTTAGTCGTAGCGCCATCTATGAGAAATCTATGAAAGATTTACCACCCAGTTAGTACCTTTACAGTCTTGGCGAGAGATGTCGCTATTTTAAGTTTTTATTGATATTCAATTATTTTTTGTGAAATTACTCCACTAGTTTGTTATAATATTAATACAAAGATCGAACACTCAGAAAAAAATCCTTCGATCCGGTCGGATTCGAGCCGACGTCTTCTTGCATACCGTGCCAGAGGCTATACCAAATTATTGTTATTGAGTTATAATTATTAACACAATGGTTGAACTCTTACAAAATATTCGACTCCGGCTGCATTCAAACCAGCAAACCGTGTCAGACTCTATGCCAACAAAAGCTACGGAACGGACCTTAAGAATTTTTCAATGTATTTGTTGTAGATATATGTTTTATCGACAAATATCTTTGTTTTATCGTACAAATAGTCAAGCTAGAACTCTTTGAGCATGAGTCCCACCGTAGATTATTCCCATACATAAAACGGCTGCTTTCTGTGGCTGCTTCAAATACAACGCGTCCAAAATATGGAATGACATACCACCGCCCATAAGAAATCTTACATCAATTCACTCTTTTAAATGTGCACTTTAAAAAACTTTCTACAGAATATTTTGACGCGTGTCTGATACAAATATCAAAGTTCACAAATTACCCTTAATCTCTTTTACACTACCTGCCTACAAAATATTTTCCCTGCCATAAATACTTTGTTTCATAGTTAAACATAAACCACACATATATTCCACTTATTTTTTACGTACCGTAAACAAAGGTGTGTTACCTTTAAACAAAACACCCACTCATTTACAATTACTATACAACCACACATTTAGATCTTTCATCTTTTTTTATTTTCTTTCCAGTCACCTAGTCCACGTTTTATGGCTTATATGATAACTTATTCACCTTACAATTAATATTATAACTACATACTTTACATCCTAACTCCGTGTCGATTCTCTATTCTGAGTTACTTCTTTTTTACCGGCTCACATTGGGTCGTAGTTCGACTGAACTGCGGCATAATGCTGAGTCGGGCCCTTTTTGCTGACACAGTACATTCAACTCTACACCTGATACTTTATTATACTCTAGACCATACCCGCAAACCTAGACTAGCCTTTTTCTTTATGATTACTATTGTACCTA